GATCGCTGATACACAAAGTGGAGCATAAACTTTCCCCCAATTATCAGAGGTTCCACGGTCATCGATATAATCTTCTCAGAGTTCTGCAAGTCCGGGTCGACGACCGGTCTGATGAATTTATTGCACTTGTGCGCAAGTTCGGACAGCTGTGGACCATACTCAGCCCCCATTTCATGTCCTTTCAGGTAAGCATGGACAACATGGCGGCAAATATAATGCGGTTGGTGTTTGGTGCAGAACAGAACACAAGAATACGGTTTCTGCGAGACATTGTATTGATGCGATCACTCGGTTCCCGTTCGCTGAGAGCACCGATACAATTTCTCGCGGCAATGACAGAACATCAAATCGGGGAAACCTTTTGGGAGAAAAAAGCGTCTTTCCCCATGAAAAGAAAAATTCATATCGCAGATTTGTGTCTGAAGCTGAGTAGGTGTATTTTGAAGTCAGACTAAGGCACACGGTGGATTCTTCTGGTAAGAACGAGGTAACGTGCAACAGGACATCCAGAGGCAGTCAGCACGGCAAAGATCGAAGGTGCCTTCTCGGAGGTGGTGGAAGGGAGCTCATGGTTTCGATATAGCGGTGTAAAAGAAAGCGATTCCACAACGAGGGACACCTATGACCAAGGAGCGTTGATGCCTCAAAGTATCCAAGGATGAATGGAGGAATGGAGGACTGAAGGATGAGTGATCAGAGAGATGCGCAGTCTCGCCAACCTCGCCAGCCTCCCAAGCGCCCTGATGTCTACTGGGTACGGCGGTGACAAAAAGTGACGGGTTTCATGTACTTGTAGTCTTGGCTAGTAACGAGGAACAGCAGGTGAGCCAGGCCGACGTGAGCCAGGTCATGTGAGCCCCGACTCAAAGCGGCGAGACGGAACCAGCGAAGCCAGTAAGCTGGGCCAAAGGCTCGGCACGGACCCAGGGGTCCGGAGTTGATTCTCCGGAGCTCAAGGGAAATATCAACGCCCTACCACGACTTCAAGTATTTAGCCTGAGATACAATCAAGCCCTTGAAACCTAGCTACTAGGTGTTAGCTGACTCGCTAAAAATGCTTCAACTTTTCCCTTTGCTGGGGAGAATGGGGATGGACTCGCTGCTGGCTAACTCGCCCGTTCCTCACTCAACCTCTCTCCAGGCAAGAAATGGCTCAGTCACGACTCGCGAGACATGTCGCTTGCTCACCAGCGAACTCAATTATCAACCCTCTGCGCTCGGTTGGTCAGTCCATCGGCTAAACCAGTCGTGCCAGTATTGCCAGCCAGCCTATAGGCAAATTTCGGGTCGTTCCCCATGGGTAGTCTTCAACATCACCATCAGTATCAGGATTGACCATGCCCGGCCGGCTACTCGGCCCAAGGCTGTGGAGACTCCAGCAACGCGGTGGCAAGGGCCGAACTAACTCACAGCATATCATCATGGTTGTCGTCGATCAATCACCTTGTCGTCGTCCAGGGAGACTAACCAACTCACGAACTCGCCAACCAACCAGCAGGCCCTGCGCGAATCGATTCGCCAGGAGCCTTAAACCCTCCAGCACTTATTAGATAGGAGAACGGATGATCGTCTTCCCCCAATTAAGCAAGGGACAAGGAGTTCTCTACCGAGGAATTCTCTCCGCCTTGGTGGCGGACAACTCTCTCAACTCAAATCAATCAGCTACTCGGGGCATCGCCGGTCTCTGTCCGTTTCATTCATTCTCCCTCCCCATGGGGAAAGGAAAGAAGGTGGGGGAAGAATGCCAGCAAAAGGATACAGGGTCACAGGGTTTGCAGATCGTAGTGTGCAGGGGATTCCTTTCTGACTTGGTGGCCACCTTCCTTAGATCTTGAACTAACTATACCACTACGACGACAGGTCCTGGAGCCATGGCTCATTGCAATTGCTAATTATCCAGGGAACTATCGCGTTGTGACTTACGCTACGGGTGCAGCACGGGATACCTTGTCCTACATAATGTGGCAGCTTTGTCTGGTTTTCTTGCAAACAATAACTCGACTCGACACAATCGCTGTCTTCTCACATCTCAAGCCCTTGAGCCCCTCTCCTCCTCTTCTTTATCATTCGCCGAGTTTCCAATGGACTCAGACATACCTACAACCTTGACGGTGTCCGAGGTCCTCGCTCAAGAGGACCAGAAAGGGCTCGGATTGACGCCGGCGCTGATCAGGCTCTACCTCGTTCTTGCCCCGGCCACTCTGGTGGTCTGCGCCACGAACGGCTTTGATGGTTCCGTTCTCAACGCCCTTCAAGGCATCGACAAGTGGAAGCACCAGTTCGGGAATCCGAACGGCGCATTGCTCGGGATAACGAGCTCGGCATATGCGCTCGGCGCGATAGGGTCGACGCCGTTTTCCGCCATCGTGTCTGACCGCTTTGGCCGGCGATGGTCCATCTTCCTCGGCAGCATCATCATGATGCTCGGTGTGGTCTTGCAGTGTGTTAGCAGGAGCATTGGACTGTTCATCGGCGGTCGTGTCGTTATCGGCTTTGGCATCAGTCTGGCCCTGGCTGCTGCGCCGATCCTTCTCGCAGAGCTAGCCCACCCGCGGCACAGGGTTTTCTTCTCCGCCATGTACAACTGCAGCTTTGCCCTCGGCTCCGTGCTCGCAGCATGGGTTGCCTATGGGAGTGTCCATATCCCGAGCTCGTGGGCTTGGCGCCTTCCGACGCTCTTCCAGGCATGTCCGGCGCTCATACAGACAAGCGCCATTTGGTTCCTTGACGAGTCGCCACGTTGGCTGTGCTACAAGGATCGAGGTGACGAGGCCTTTGCAATTCTGGTCAAACACCACGGTGGAGGCGACCCAACTCATCCTTTGCCGATTGCCGAGTATCATGAGATGTGCGAAGCCTTGCAGCAAGAGAAGCAGATGAAGCACAAGGGACTTCGCTTGTTTCTTCAGACACCCGAAAACCGGAAACGGCTCATGATCTTGATATCACTTGCGGTCTTTGGCCAGTGGTCCGGTACCGGTTTAATATCCTACTATCTTCCCAAGATCCTGGATAGTATTGGCATCACTGGGCAGCAGGAACAGACGCGACTCAACGGGATTGTCACCACCGTCAACTATATCACCTCCTTTTGCGCCGTCATTTTTGCCACCCAGGTCGGCCGTCGGGTTCTGTTTGTCGGCGGCGGCACCTTTATGTGGCTGTCGCTCGTCGGCTTCGCGACCTCGGTGGCCCTCTACAACGAACGCAAAACGGTAGGTGCGGGTCGATCGTCCCTGGGCTTCATCTTCATTTTCAATACCGGCTACAACTTCTGCCTCATCCCGACACTCTATCTCTACTCGACCGAGATTCTGCCATACCGCCTGCGCGCAATGGGTCTCAGCATCTCAGTCTTCACCACCAAGGCCTCGCTTTTCTTCAACCAGTTCGTCAACCCGATCGGGCTGAGCTCGATTGGCTGGAAGTACTATTTCGTCTATGTGGGGTGGGTGGCTGTCGAGGTCCTGACCATGTACTTCTTCTTCCCCGAGACAAAGGGCCATTCGCTCGAGACAATGCCCGAGGTGTTTGGAGAGAATGTCTTGGGCAACATGGACAAGAAGATGATGACGAATGACGATGATGTCCATGTCGTCGAGCTTGGTAGCAGTCCAAAAGGCGTGGACAAAGCGAAGGGTTATGCTGAGCATGTCCAGGATGTTGCAGTCTAGTCTAGACTTGATTTGACACAGAGGGTCACAAGAAAGCCCGAAGCCTAAACCTGGTAAATGGTTGAAGTTGTAGATCTCCGAAATGGTGAAGACAAATTAGCAGATGCCCTCAAGGTAGAAACTGAGGAATGGAGGTTGGAAAGGTTGGAATTCGGCGCTGAGGATCGGGGTTGATTCAGGCGGGGGAGCGGGAGGACCTAGCTGATTCGAATGCGCAGTAAACATCAAATCAGATACCTATTTCCTGTTCTTTGCACTCCTGCTCTTTGCCGTGACCATCGAAACCCTTCTGTTTATAGTGACTAAGCCCTTCTTGTGGTGGCAGAGCCAAAGAAATATGTTTGTTCATTGTGAAACTGTGAGGCTCCAAGATGGCCCCGAGACCGACAAGGTATGAGCGGCAGAGAGGTCATCTAACCACTCCAAGAGGTTCTCGAGAGGTTGTGTGACCCCTCCCTTGAATTTCGACCTGCTACATAAAGGGCCATCCATCCGCGCTCATTCGGGAGTTTGAATGGTGCCTTGCAAGCCACATTAATACAAGTAGTCGCTAAATCTGATTCTCTCAAAGACGGGGGATCTGACAAATTCCGTTTCCGCAGAATGCAGGACAGGACTATCTAGGTCTGGGCTGAAGGATATACCGTGCAAACTGAAGGCTCTGGCGAGATTCCCGACACCCCCAAGGCCCCCTGGATGTATGATGATGGCATGAAATTGGAAAGATTGACTGCAGCGATACCTCGACCGTGGATTTACCTGTACAGTTTCGCGGAAGTCGTTCCACGGCCTTGATCTCGCCAGAGAAAAAGCAACAAGTTCAGCGAGACTGGAGGCAAAAGTCCTGGCTCAATAACGAGACCTTCGGTTAGGAGCGGAGAGAGACGACCCGGACACGAGGCTGCGCAAATCTTAGACTTCCCCGTCACACCACTAATCCTGCTGAAGCTACTTGTATTCATTCCTGAAACAATGGCTTTGGCCTTTCAGTGAGTGTTACAGAATATTCTCAGGAACCTTATATGTCGCCAGAAAGCAAGTAATTATGGTTTAGACGTACCCAGTAATGGTGAGGAATATCCAAGAAGTGATGACGTTTCGTCGTTGCTGGCGAGGCTGGACGTGTGCTCAATGCCAAGACCTGCTCACGTGACCATAAACAAACCGCTGTCATTACAAACATCAACGTGCTGTTTTACCGCTCAAAAAAGTGAAGCCAGCCGCTGAAATGACGCCAAGAATTTGCATGATCCGAGTCATTATATTCCCAAGCCCTCCTTTCCATCTTTCTCTCCCAACTCAAACAATCCCATAACATCGACCAAATCAATCTTCCCGAAGAGCTTCTCTGTTTTCCCGAGCTTCCTGTTTAGACCTGTCATTGATGTCCTTGACGGCAGCAACCGCTCCCAGAGCCTCAGTGATGAGGTGGATGACATGATGCCGCCTATCGCCCAAGAGCTCTTTGCCCAAACTGTAGGCTCCCACGGCCTCTTCCAAGAGACGTCTGTTGTGGCCTGGGGCTTCGTGGTGGTGTTCGTGTTCGTGATGTGAGTACCGACGCCGAGGTTCATGCCGATGATATTCTTCCTCGTCGCTAGTGTCGGTGTATTCTTCAAGTTCGCCTTCTTCGCGTGGGCGTTTTGGTTTCTGCTTCTTTAGCAGGTGGAAAGCTCCAACGGCGACAGCTGCGCCGACTGCAGCCTTGACATAGTGTTCGTTGGCGTCCTTGGGATAGTCCTCGGTGACTGCCTTACCCAGCTCGTTGGCGGCATAGACACCGCTCACGGCCATGACGGCAGTCCCAGCATTAGTCTTCAGCGAGTGTAAGTTGTTATGCTCTGATTCCGGCATTGCTGATTTCTTTCTTGTTCGCTTGGTTGTTCTGAAGATGGTTTGGTTACAGAGGATGGATTTTGACGCGAGGCGAAAGCAAAAAGACAACTAGGAGGCTCTTATACTTGCGGGGTCTAAGGTGTAGAAGGTTCCGGTCCGTCGACAATCAGGTGCTCTCAAGTCAGCCCGCTGGTTCGCCCCGTCCCATGGGGAAAGGTTGGGTTTGACATTTACGACCATCAGGTTGTGGCCTCAAAGCCCGACGGCTTGGCAAGCTTACCAAGTAACAAGTACAATTGCCATCTAGCAAGTACTTGGTAGGTACTTGGCTCATCGACACTGCTGACGAGGTTGGCTCGGTGATATCCATACCAAACAAGGATATGATTCTGGGCTAGACGAACGAATGCGACCGGCTACTGATGATGATGCCACCTCCAGGATTTCCAAATCAGGTGGAAGTCTCCTAAAATGTTCTCGATCACGCAAGATATCGTTTGTTTACGTCCAAGTACTCGTGCTCAGAAGGCAATCCGAGCAAAGATTGGCTGGTTTCATTTGTCAAAATCACACCGGTCGAGAATCAGGCCATTGTTGCGTCGTCGGGGAAGCAGAGACAGCAAAAAAGGCTGTCACATGAATCAGTAGCGACAATATCGTGGGAGGGTGCTTTTTCCCACGAAGTCTCGACGGCGCGCCGCTAAGAGAGCTACCTGTTACAGTGCCACCATTTCATTCATGATGTCGTCTTGATCAAAGAGAGATTCTCTTTTCGCTCTCACTTTCGCCAAAGACAATATTTCAAGATCCGCTACTCGGGAGGCGGATCCCCAAAATTAGCAGGATCATGCGATTGTTTACTGTAGATACATCAAGTCCGAGCCTCTTTTTCCATCACACCACAATCAAAGGTCAAATCACGAACGCTCTCGAACAGTCATCAATCGAAATGGTCTCACCAGAAAACCACGAACAGGAAAACCGTTGGAGAATGCGAGGTGGAGTGAGCAAAATAAGCCCACCGTGCCACGTGATCAGTGACCAGTGAGTTGCTTGGAAGTACAATCCAACCACTCTGCGACTTCCGTGGCCTCGCCCTCTCAAGCTCATTTAATGAATCGCTGGTGGCTTCAAACGTCGAAGTATATCTAGGAGAAAGAAGTAAGAACATCCCAACAGAACGAAAAACACAACAAGACAAACGCCTTAATTGCCGGCAAACCACAGAATAAGAATACAAAAACCAACACAGCACACGATGTCTCCATTGAACCTGAACACGGTCCTGAAACCGCCGCATGTTACATTCGACTCACATGGGCCGTACCACCGAGGATCGATACGCTCAGTGTTCGACTACCTGGGCGGCGGGGAGATCGACTCTGTCTTCAATCAGAAACACCACCACCGGCAACCGCACTCGGTGTTTGAGGAGGGCGTGGTCTTCCCCAACTTCACCGTCAGGGAGACCGCCGAAGCGTACTTTTTGGAGGGCGATTTCCCAGGCATTCACAACCCAAATGACATCAAGATCGAGAGACTGGGCTCGCAGGGCCTCCTGGTTGAAGCCCAGGCGCCGGCACTCGGCCTGTATGGTGAATGGGGCAACGCCTTCGGCCTCCGGCCGAGCAAGGAGACGCAAGTGGAAAGAGGCGCCAGCGAGAGCACCACCGTCACTGCTGAGGGTGGTGGTGAGTCCGGTGGCGCGAAACCCAAACCCATCGAAATGAGAACCCGCAGCCCCGGCCACGAGCACGAGCGCGCCGAAGCCGGTGCCGCGGCCGAAGGCGAAAAGCTCCGCAGTTCCGGCGGCGACAATGAAGGCAGCAAAAGCACCACCGTCGAGCGGAGACCGCACAAGCTGCACCGCAGGGGCTCCTCGTCCGCCGACGACGAAGATGGGGCGGCGCCGACGACGCTACTACAGGAGCGGCACGTGGGCCGGTTCCTGCGCTCCTTCACCTTCCCGCAGACGGTGGACTTGGACCACATGAAGGCGCGGCTCAAGGACGGGGTGCTACGGATCGCGCTGCCCAAGACGTCTGTCAGAGAGAGACGGTCCAGCTTCAAGATTGAATATGGCGGATAAAAAGGACTCGTACAACACTCTACACGCTTAGGTGGTTAGGTAATTATGTGGTTGGGTGGGTAGGCACGCGGTGTATGAGTACGTATTTGAAAAGGAAATCGGACAGGTGGCCATGAGCCCAGATATCGGGTCTGGAATATGGGAATATGGAATATGTGATATGTCATTTGAGACATGCGCCAAGTATGTACCACGGGGCTATTGAAGAATGTCCATCATCTCCTTCTTACTCATTCACCTCGATAGCCAAGGACTCTATGTGGACGAAGCGTGAAGTATTTCGTTGTTTGCCTACGACCGGGACGAATGGAAGATACCACATCCAGCAAAACAATATATATCATTTAAAAACTCAGATAGACAAGCCTTCCATAATGTGGCAAATCCCGTAGCAAGTCTATATTTGATATCCTTATGCTGCTGCTCTTCCCGTCTCCTCCAACTACACACACACACACACACACACACACACACGGCACATTCGTGAGTGAAAATCCAAAACCTTTATGACCTGGGTGGATGTTTATATAGCTTCTCGAATCGGAAAATTCGCACGTGCGTGTGTGGGGCATATTTCAAAATCACCCCCATAGCTAGAGATCTTTGAGGTCGATTCCTATCTACTTTTTCTTAGACGATGATAGGTAATATTGACATCTCTGAATAGCCCATAGGCTTTGAGAATCGAGATTACTCGGGGAATAAAACATCTAGCACTTACCTAAAATATACAAATCAAAGATGGCTATAAGCTAAGTCTATTGTAGCCATTCTTCGGCTGTGCCACTTTTATTTTTGGTCATTTGACTCGCCTTGTCCCAGCAGGGGCAAGTTGAATATTGATAAATTAATACCTAACCCTATGTAGCGGCGTGTACAGTCTCAAGCGACCGACTGGATGTCTTGAGAAACAAAGAAAGCCAGTACTACCATCCTCTCCTCAATTAACCTGTAGATTCAGCCTTTCTAGTTCCACCGAAGCCGCATCATACAGTTCGGCCTCGAACGTCCACAGTACAATCTTCGCACCCCCCCGGGGACGGAGAGCAACACCTGATCATTCCTCGTATATCCCGCATTTTGCATCTGCTGGTATCCCTCTTCGCTCGTGGTGATCGCGTGCGCGAACCGTTTTGCGAGCCAGAACGCTGGCTTGATGCCCGCCTCGATCTTCTTCACGTCGGTCGTGACACCCTGTGTGAAATTGGGCGTGTTGAAAGCGCCCTCACACTTCAGCTCGATGATAACATAATCATCCCTGGGGCCGTCTGAGGTAGTTACAACAATGTCGGCGCGCTGGGGCGGCGACGATTCGTAGAAGGCGACCTCTCTACTCAAAGTGACGGTCGTCGTAGGGCCCAGCACCGTCGCAGCGGCCTGAGCGTAATAATTTCCAATCAGGATGGCGATCTCGACTTGCGCCCGGCCTTCCCATCCTCCCTTCAAGGGATATGCCTTTGTAATTTTGGGAATATCCTGGTGAGCCCATTGCAAGATTAGTTCCTGCACATCGATGTTGAGAAGATCTCCCACTCGGATCAGGGCTTTGATGTGGTTCGGCAGTTACGAGGCGGCGACTATAGTAGGAGCAGGGGTTCCAGACATTTTCTTGATTGCTGTCCGTTTTCCTCCACAACATCACTAGGAAACTCTGTATAAGCCTTGTAAGACTCTGTTGGCTGCTGGGTCATAGAGGTGGGATATGAGGGCGGAGCTATCTGCATTGGCTCTAGGTCCTTGCAGAGACATGGCAGGCACTTTACTTTACTCTCTATTCTTGCTTAGGCCATTGGATTCACGGCATGGGACCTTGAAGGCTTCAAAGGTAATGTATCATGTGTTGCTCATGGCACCATCGGAATCAGCCAACGACGTGAAGCGAAGGACTTGTAGATGGTCACCCGTGGGTGACTAGAAGCCGCCCATAGAGTGGCATGACAAAGGAAGATTGCAAGAATTGGCCTATCACGGGAAGAATATAACTAATATTTCCATTATCAACATTTGATCCGAACTGATGATGGCCCTGATATGCAGAGATGTCGTCAAAATCTGACATGTTTGTAGATGCAGCGCTTCCATGTTGCACAGTCGCTTGATCATCTCGGGGTCGTGCCGGTTAATACCAGTTTGAGAGGTATTTCCACCCTAACGCCATGCTTCTGTTTCTTTTGGACCGCCAAGTCTGAGAGCCATCCCTAATGACTCCTCGAATTAACCTGGTCAGCAGTCTCTTCGTCGATGACTTCAAAATTAATATCTCGCCCTTGATCCTCGAGTGCGTTTTCCATTCTCTCTCGCTTGTGCTTTTCCACCTTCTTTATGGCTGTCTTGGTCAAGGCTTGTCGTTGCATCTTCAAAGCCACGTCCTTCTTGCGGGTCTTTCGGTCACCGATGGCGATCAAAATACCCGCCACGATATTGCACGTGATGGAACACGAGAGGATCGTCGCCGTCAGAGCTTGTGGTCGGGTGTGATAGCTGATCGCCCAAGTACAGGTGCCGAGCGCGATCTGGAAGAGTGAATGACAATCCAGCAAGACAACGATGGCCACCAGTAAGCGTAATGGGAAGGCATAATGAGTTCCCGTTTCGTGAGGCTTGTAGAATGAATGCGACTTGGAGAACTTTGCTTGATGGTGCATGAGCTTTTGCTGTTGCTTGTGCGTCAAAACCGAGAACTCCGAGTCCTCCGGCACCACAGACTCGGGGTCGGCTTCCTTTTCCGTTTGAGCAGGGAGGTCGTTGTGATCACGCAGCTTTGGCATGCCTCTTTCTCGTCTTAGCCTCCAAGTCAGGTGGTGATAGTGAGCGATAAAGCACATGTGATATGTGTCGACAGCTCGGAATGGTGCCAGACCATCACCAACAACCGCAAACAGGGCGACCAGCACATTGTCGATTACATTGATGTCGTACTCTTGTCGGTCTCCCACATAAATCCAACCTGATAGATCGCTGTCAGCCAACAAGATGATGTCAAGACTACGCATCCAAACCTACCGATTAAGAAAAGAACCCAGGCCAAACCAAACAAAGTAATTAGGGTTGCATACAGAAACACAAAAAACCCGAGTGCTGTTGTCACGGTCAGCAACCGCCGAAGAACCCGCCGAGGTTCCTCAACTCACGTTTTGAGATGTACTTCCCAAAGGCAACCATTCTCTGTTTGAACTTGGAGCGTTTCGAGTGCAACATGTGCCTGACATGATCATCCAGCGCCTCCTTGTCCTCGTCACTCCATCCCTCTAGGGACACACCATGTGGTAGTACGGCGAAGTGGGAGTCTGTGACAACTGATGAAATACTGTGGGTGCGCTCAATCTGGGGTTTGCGCTGCCATGACCAGGTCCTTTGCATGGTGGTGGGGGCACCCGTTCCCTCTTTCTCCTCCTCTGGGGCTCCCACCGGTGGCTCTTCTATGGGTGCCGCCTCGGTGGTAACTGGAGTCATGCCCACTTCCTTTTCTTCGATGGTCTCGGGTCTCCGGGTCTGGGTTGGCCGACGACTCAGCGTATAGGTTGGTCTTCGGTTTAACCATCTCCCAAGATCTGGCACAAAGAGTGAGTTTTGGACGTTGTTCAGAGTAGTCAGCGTCGAGACTTCGGGATCTATAATTCAATCAGTATTGTCCGGTTCTGTCTAGCCAGTCCGTTTGACGTACCAAGAACATCGAGCAGGTCGACAACTTCTGATTCATACTCAGGTTCTTGTCGTTCCCTCGACGTTTCACTCATTCTGCTCATGATCGAACGTGCAGCGTTGCTGATACTTCGTCTTCTACTCACCCCGCCTGTCACATTCTGATTCATCGTGTCTCGATCCACGGTGCCATCTGCCGGCGCGGGTTCTGGCGCCGATGGGGCTTCGGCGAGGGTTGGCAGGAGTGATTGTCTCGTACTTTGCCTCGTTAGTTGGTTCAAGCCAGGTATGCCCAGGTTCGGACGTTGTGGTGCAGAACTACTGCGTCCTCTGCCAGACGCAGCCCGACTGGGTGGTTGACTCGACAGATTTTCATCATCTTGTGCTGCCGCTCGCAGGTTCGCTGAGGGCAGTCTCCTAATCCCGACTGGCCGGAATCGGTTGATCTGGTTGATCTGATTTATTTGAGGCGCGGTATAGGTAGTTCTCGTTATGGTCGGGGTCACGGCGGCCGAGTTGGGAATAACGGTGTTGTCGGGCGTGGATGCCACAGTGGTGGGAGATTGGTTCGTGGGCTGGGTGGAGGTTACTGTGTAAGGTCTCCCACGATGAGGGATATGGACGGTGGTAGTGGTGGTGGTAGTGGTTGTCGTGGTATTGTTGTTGGCAGAACTTGGGCCCGCTGGTGAGTCGGGGATCGAAGGGAAAGGTTCTGTATTGGAGTTGCTGACAGAACTGATGCGGCGCGAGCCTGGGCGCGACGACGCCATTGTGCAAAGACCTGGAGGGAAGTGTTTACTCCCTCAAAAGGCGTTGTGTCGAGGACACGGACAAAATGAGGGTCGGCGATGGGAGGTGCAGCTGGAGGGCGCAGGCGCAGAGTGAGAGATCGACCGAGAGAGCCGAGTTGGCGCTGAGTTTCGGGGTCTGCGATGGCGACAGACAGCCAACCCGCCACGGTCAACGCCCCCTCAGGATCGATGGCGGTCGAGCACACGTACGCGATCCTCCGTAAATCATCAGCAGTGAAGTCAGAGAAGCGGAGTCGACAAGACACAGAGTACAGAGGAGGTTGCCAGAGAACTGATGGCTTAGTCTTTTCCGTGTTTGCCCTTCCAAGAATCTTTGGGCGGCTTGGGCGGCCTCCAGGCATCCTGCTGGTGCTGCCACCGGTTCGTGGCGCCTGGACACAACGATCGAAGATGGAAAATCTCGCTCTGGGGCCGCCTAATGGATTGCGGGTTCAACTAAGTTGAGCAAGTGACTTCGCTAGACTCTAACTGGAGCAGCCCGGCGGCCTAGAGGAATTAAGCATGCCATCCCCCAATCAACCCTGCGGGCTTAGAATCCTTTAACGGGCAGTAGTGGCGCCAGGGTACGCACAATGACAAGGCACTGACGTCGATGCGCGCGCTGAGTCAGGCTGCCGACCATGACAAACATCCACGACGCCAGACACCAAACACGAAACCACCACGATGCAATCTGATAAAGCTGCCCAGACCAAATCATCTCCCACGCCCTGGCACTCGCTTGAAACTCTCTCCTCTACCAACCAAGGCAACTTGGGCAAACCTAGTCTACACATTGTCCGATTCCGGCTGTTCCATGCCATCCCATTCTCTGATTCCGGACATCCGGGCATTTCTTGTTACGCCCCTCATATTGCCCGTCCATCTCCTGCCGGGGCAACTATGAGGTACGGTACACGCGCCTGTATATTTTCAGGTTCGTCTCCAGGCCCATGCAGATGTATCATGCGGATCCTTGGCTTAATGGCCCCGCAGCTGGTCAAAAATAAGGTGGTGACTATTGGTGTAAGTACTTACGAGTATGACTTGGATGACATACAACCGAACAAGGATCACTCAGGTCGATCCGTGGCGGCAAAAGGAATGGCCAAGGACAGGTAATACAGCCTGACCTCAGCCAGGGCTGAAACCAGATGACTTTTCGGTCCTTTTTCATGTCTCGATGTCTTGTTCAGGGTGCTCCAACGGACTACAACTTGGAGTCTTCTCTAAACCCATGCGCAAAAGTCGGTGGATCATCATCCACTTCCTCCTGCAGCCATTTGACCATGCGTCTCGCTGCCCTTCGAGGACCTAGCCCATCCGCATACCCCATGAAAGGCTGCATGTGTTTATATCCCATCATCTCCACGATACGTGGATGGATCTTGTCCAGCTTCCTCGGATCCACCGCCAGTATCTGGTTCTCGATGGGCCGAATATACGGCTGGCAGTACTGCACGGTGGCGCTTTGTCGAGGCTTGTCCGACACGTTCGCTCCACCACCATGCCACAAGGTACTTATGAAATAAACCACTCCGCCTTCGGGGCAGAGCGCCGGGATGGTTTCTTCGGGCATCCCTCGTCGTGAACTGTCCCATTTGTGTGACCCGGGGACGATTCGCGTGGCACCTAATCACCGTCCCGGAGACGTCCAGGGCGTCAGTCAACCGTTCCGTATTCCTCATATTTGACCCCTTTGAAGCTCTCTTCCGCAAGGGGCCGGTGGACGGATACATGTGTTCAAAAACTCACCATTCTCGGCAGTATACTCGTCGAATGCGACCATTATCGCCGCACCAAACGGCAATCTCGGTCTGGGAAACTGGATATACCCGTCATCATGATGCAGCGCTTGCGCCTTCTCACCAGGATTAATCGAGATGGTGTGGAATGCCGACAAAAGGTACCTGTTTTGGCGTTTCCGCCCTCAGTCAGATCAGGTAAGGTCATGTCATGCCAGATCTTTCGCCCCAGGAAAAATGAACGGGGAGGACGCCTCAATTCTCAGCCTTCGACACGACAGCACAGCGCAAGAACCCCAGCATAACACCCCAGGCACAAAGTCAAAGCGCATTGTCGTCAACTATATAACACACACATCTTCAACGAAATATGTGAAATTTCAAGCCACACAATACGGAGAGTACATACCCCTGATCCAAGAAAAAGTCATTGAGCGCTAGCACACGGGGCAAGATGACAAACTTGTCAAACACGCGGGACTTGTTGAGCAGCGAGTAGATGCGGTTCGTGTTGAAGCCCTCAAAGGCATTGCGCCCGACTAGAGCGGATGCGTCATCTTTGCCGAGCAGCCGCACGATCTCGGCGCGCGCCTCTCGCGCCTCGGCCGCGGTGAAACAGTCCGGGATGATCACGTAGCCGTGCTCGAGGACGTGCTCTATGTCTGCGCGCACGGCCGGGTCGGAGGGGAGCGGACGCTGCCTGAGGGCTTGCGAGTAGATGTTGAAGGAGGCACTGACGTCCGGGGCAATTGGCGGCGACGACGACGGCGGTGGGTGCGCCATGATGGAATGCGATGCAATGGGATGCGTCGGTCGGCAAAGGGAAGTGAGCAACACAAACAGGCAGGTTACTCAATCGGACTCGTGTACCGAGTCCACGGCGAGCCAGTCAGGTTATATCCTTCGCGACTTTGATACCCGTCAGAGAGTCCCAGTAACCAGGGTAGACGACCATATATGTGAATATGCGTTATTTATAACCCTCAGAACCCTAAATAAAAGCGCGGAAGTCCTCCGTAGTAATAGCAACACGGTATTGTAAAAAATTCTCTTTCCTCCTCAAAGAGGAAGCCCGATCTGCCCTGCCTACAAGCTCTGAGTGTGTGTCTGGACCGGTTCCCCGCATTTCGACACCCAGAAGTCAGGCGCGGCGTTAGCAATAATAGGCATTGATACGTACCGCAATACCCCAGTTAGGGAGGTGGAGGGAGCGCAGAGAAGAAAAGAAGCCTCGGTATCTTTTCGTTCTCGGCCGGTGTAGCCTGGTGGCCCCTCTGAATAGTGTGCCCAGCCTCGTCGTGACTGGGCGCCCTGGCAACCGCCCAATAACGCGAATATTATTATGACCCGAGTATGGAAGACCTATCGAGTATGGACTGTGCCATGGCGTGAGGAGATTTTCCCAATGTCGCATGTCGAGCATCTAATGCATCTCTACCCCTAAGGACCCAGCGGCGTTCTCCCTTTTGCCTGACCGCTTGCGGAAATCCACTTCGCTGGCTGCGTACTTCTTGGATCCCTCCCTCTATTGTCCCTCTGTCCTGTCCCCCTGCTGTTCCGGCTGGCACTCATACTCTCCTACCACCCTCGGCGTCTTACCGTCAAACACTCGCCGCGTTAAACGGCGCCTGACTGCTCCACCTGAGAATAAAACTGCCGGCGCGCAGGGGGAACTGCGTCTTCATGGCGTCCTCCAGCTCCTGCCACGTGCCGCTCGTGGCCAGCGCCTTCTCCCACGCCCGGATGTAGAGCTTCGTGTCGGCGATGTGGCTGGGCGCGAATCCATCGCCGGGCTTCGTGTGGCTCGGCACCACGAAGCGCGGCCGGAGCGCGGCGACCTTGTCGAGCGACACGATCCACTGGTTGCGCAGTCGCGGGCTGAGGTCTTCGACAAAGAGTTGGTGGCAATTGCCGTAGACGACGTCCCCGCCGACTACTAGGTCTACGTCGGGCACGTGAAGCACGGTCGAGTTGGACGTGTCGCCCTGTCCGACCTCCACAGCCCGGAAGATGTGTCCCTCGATTTCAAAGGTGCCGTTGGCCGGGAGGATGAGCGTCGCGTTGAATGGCTGGCTGGTGATTTGGCCGCCGGGAAAGAGGGAGAGCCAAAGATCTGTGAACAAAGGTTCTTCATACTGTTGCAGCATATGCGCGTTCACGTCAGCTTTCGCGACGACTTGACACCCCGGCCAATTGGCAGCGATTTGCAGCGCGGTAAAGAAGTGGTCGCCGTGGCCGTGGGTGACGTAGATGTATTTCAGGCTCTTGTGAGGACCAACGATGTCCTTAACCCATTTGGTGAGGTTCTGGCCCTGGAGGAATGTGGCGGGGCTGTCCACCAATACGGCTTCGTGGGTGCCATGAATGAATGTGAAGGCTGTTGGAGAGAAACTGAGATTGGTACTGTTTTCGTACACGACCGGGGCGGGCGGGAGATGGTAGACGTCTACCTGGAGGCCGTTCTTGGAGGTGACGAATTCGGATAGCGCGAGAGGGGGGAGTATGGAGAAGAGTATTGAGGAGAGCAATGACGACTTCATGGTGCAACTGCAGCTATTTCTGATGATAGGTTTGGGGATATTGAAGTTGAGAATGTCTGATGGAGTTGTTGCTCACCGGAACAGATGATCACTTATATATACTCGCCCTGCTTCCACCAGGGTCCTCATTAAGACACCATCTGCTGGACTTGATTGGAAAATCTTTCTTTCCTCGCAAAGGATGCACCTCTCGCGCCAACTTGTAGAATGCAAGCATATTCGCAAAAACTCTGCTGGATCCTGACTTGTGACTGGGAAGAAGGGACAACAGCGAAAAAGGTAGGCTAACAAGACATCAGTGCTGACGATCGGCATTCAAAGAGACTTGGATCATGTCAAAAGACTGGTCATTCCAGACGGCAGGCAACCAAGAAGCAACATATCAGAGGTACCTGTTGCCGAAAGAGGAAATTCAGAGCTGGCCCGATCTGTTCGAGGCTGGTAATATGCTCCACCAATCTGATTACATTCTTCAAAAGCCCTCCCCGGGGTGAATTTGAGCGAGGTCCAAGGTCGCGCCAAAGGAATAGGATTCGAAGATCCAATGCCGGCAGATACTCGATCTGTTTAAGCTGCGGTGCCAGGATCTCGGATGGGATCGTGACGCAGGCCCGTTTGCCCACAAGTGACTTACCTCTGAGAGTCGAAGGGCGAGCATTCAGCAGAATGTCAACTGTGTGGCAATTCATCCAAGAGGCGTTTCCGACTCGCCTTTTTCCATGCAAGATGGGTCAGCGCTTCAGACTGCTCAATTCGCCGCTTCCAAGCTTCTCGGCCGTAATTGTTTAGTTTTCAACACCTGTGAGTCCCACTGCCTAATTACCTAGACAGCCTCAACAAAGATCCTCGGACAAGACGTCGTACTGATCGTATGATAGGCATTTCATATACGTCTAAGTGGTCTTTCTATCTGTCTGACTGCCGACTCCGAGGAGTTTTATGTATTATATATGATCGTGGGGACCAAGCAACCGGGAGATACGGTGTTGGGTGACGAAATTGGGTCAGGAATGGTGAGGATGACGCCTTCGACCCTAAGGACTGCAGTTCGACGCCGGATATGCATCTTGTAGCTATGTGGCTTTCCTGCCGACAACATGGACTCTGAAATGTAGCAAGGCATTCGATGGGGTGAAACATTTGTGCATGGAGGCCTCGAGTCCTAGTACCGGATCTCTGGTTCTCGAGGCCGGAAACAATTTGAACGTATGTGTTAATCGAGGCTGGCTTGCCTCAAATGGACCGGAGAATCACCAGCAGCGCTTCTGTCCGTCTTCAGGCCGCCACTTCCCAATACCATCGACGCGAACACCTCCGAGCTTCTCCATTTCATTAGCATCAACAATGCCTCTGCCGTCGAAGATCCATTTCGGCTCTCTCATGCTGTAGACGATGCGAGCCCATTCGACGGGGTCGGTGGAAATCGGCCCCCTGGCTTTTGATCTGCAGTCGGGACAGTTGGCCACGCAATCGGGCTGAGGAGCGAGCCTGTAGTTTGCAAAGTTGGCACCTAGATGGTCATCTTCTTGCTGTTTCGGCGACGGACATGTACTCGCAGGGTTGTTGGCGGGTGGGCTCGTCTCGGATGCATTGCTGCCGCGAAGCCTTTGAGGTGAGTTTTTGAACTGGTCACAGTCTGTAATGATAAGTATGGCATTCGATTCCATACACGCCTCATATGGATCGGTGTAGATCTTCACGGAGGAGGTTTCGCCTGCAAAACCAGGCGTGTTGCTGACGGCGGCATTAATCTCTCGGAGCATGTCATCTTCGTCACAATAAGGATCAAAAATGGCAATTTCTGCAGGTTGCTCGTCGAGTAAAGTTCTGATGACGTCCACAGCGGGAGACTCGCGCGCATCGCTAGTGTTCTTTTTGAATGCAAATCCCATCAACGTGATTTTCTTTGCAAACAGATTTTCGTTGAACCTTTTGAGGACTTTTCTCGCGAAGCGATTGCGTTGCATGACATTGATCGAGTTGACCTGACTCCAGTAATGGGCCACTTCTTCCAGACCCAGAGATTCGGCGAGGTAAGTGAGACTGGCAATATCTTTCCTGAAGCAAGAGCCCCCGAAACCGAGGCCGGCCTTCAAGAATTGCGGTCCTATCCGGGTATCCAGGCCGATGGACTTCGCGACCTCCTCTACATTGGCGCCTGTTGCTTCGCAAATCGCACTGATGGAGTTGATGCTGCTAATCCGTTGTGCGAGCATTGCATTGGCCACAAGCTTGGAAAGCTCTGATGACCACGCATTGATCTGCAGGATCTGAGACGAGGGAATCCATGCGGCATACAGACTAGCGAGCGCATCAGCTGCCAGTTTGCCCGAGGGGGTGCCAGACGAGCCGATAATGACCCGATCCGGTTTCATGAGATTTTTGATCGCTGTCCCTTCAGACAGAAATTCGGGATTTGATAGGACCTCAAACGGCACGCCCGGTCGCAGTGCGTCGAGCTGGCAACATCCCCGTCAGAAACCCACTTTGCAGCCCGCGTCAAACTGGTCACTTACCGTGTTCCTGATGCGCTGAGCGGTTCCACAGGGCACCGTGCTCTTCTCAACAATAATAGTGCCGGGCTTCGCATACAAGGCCACATCCTTGACAGCGCCATCAAGAGCCGTCATATTAGTCGCTCTCCCTGCACCGACGCCCGTGATTTTCGTAGGGGTGTTGACTGCCAGGAAAACTATGTCAGCGGTGGAGATGCTGACCTGGGTGTCACACGTGAAGAAGAGGTTCGGTCCGCGTCTGGAGACGTAGTCAGACTCGCCATTGCGGTCGTCCGAAATGGATTTGCGGACGCCGGGCTCCTTTATAATTGCCCCGTCTCTTGTCAATCGCACAATCTTGTTCAAGCCTGGCTCGTGGATCGGCAGGTGAGCGGAGTTCCATCGTTCGATGCGTCGCTGGTCTCTGTCCAACACCTCGACGCCCACCTTGGGATTGTGCAGTGCGATGACTGCTGCGGTAGGACCGCCTGAAGACGCGTGCTCCGGTTAGTTCACCTCGATGCCTCACTACATTCTGTAGGAGTGGGCGCATGTGCGTACCGACATAACCTGCGCCAATTACGCAGATTTTCCTCACATCGCTGGGGACAGGCGCAAACAGATCCGCAAACGAGGGGACGAAGGGGCTCTCGGCGCGGGCTGAGGGCGGATCGAGTCTGCGCCTTTTGGGCTCTTCCAAAGCGTGAGCGAGTCGCGTCTCGAATGAGTCTTTGGGGTGTGAGGGGCGGAATAAGGGACTGCTGTCCGGCGTCAAAAGACCTGTGGAGTCGTTACAGGAGCTGCCGTCAGAAGTGCCGACGAGCGAGGGCACCGCGAAATCCATAGCGACAACGACGGTAACAAGCTGCGAGAGATGCTTTTCTTGGGAGACGGAGGAGAAGAACAGCGGGCAGACGTGAGACTCGAGGGAATCAGGCCATATTAATGTAGCAATGAGCGCGGTTTGTGTGGCATGGCATGGCGGTGACCAGCACCGACGAATTTAACAAGCCCCCGATAAGAGAAGCCTGGCTTCAAGAAAAGGCGAGGGCGCCGCCGCAGGGCAATTACAAGATCCGACTTTTCACCAGGGTGGAAGACGAAAAACGGGGCAAAGGTGGTGAAGCTTCGAACGGGACTCACATGGTCATGGGCATTGCGATGGTCATGAGCGGGTGTGAGGACGCGAGGGGCGCGAGGGAATCAACACAAAGGGCGACTGTATCAAACGCACCCGAGCACGCGCAGTCATCCAGCACATCTGAGTGGCTGGCGACAGACTGTGCTGCAAATGCTCGACTGGACGCTGTCAACATGGTCGGGAAGCCTGCTGTTCAGCGCTTCCACCCACGTGGGAGCTGTCAGCGTCTTCTACGCGTCCGACTCGACTCTGCGCAAGGTCGCCACCGTCGGCCTAAATCTTGTCGGGTGGGCAGGTCATGCTGCGAGGGGGCACGAGGGTGCCGGGGATCAAGTCCATAAAGAGAACAAGTCGGGAGCACAGCGAGTCTTACAAGATGGAATCATAAGAAGCCCGTTGGGATTGCAACAGCGAGGGCGAGAACCAGGAGAACCAAAAAGGCCGAAAGAGAGAGTGAGAGAGGACAAGAGAGAGTGACACGTGCCAAACCGGAGGCTGAGAGACGGATTGGAGCTCGAATGCAAAGTGACTAATTGTGCGTCTGCCGGTCACCCAGTTTTACGCACTTTTCTTCTGCTCTTTTCTCCCCAACGAAGGTCGAGCGAATTTGCACCAGCCCGAAGTTCGAGGTTTGCGGCGTTCGATAAGCAGAGTCTGGAGAACGTAACGATAGCGATAAGAAGAGGGGCAGACTGCGCCCCGGAACATCTTTCGGAGACCGGAGAATCTTTTATCCTGCGCACGGCGCTAGTAGCACAGCAGCACCGCGCAGCACCGCACAGCACCGCACGATGGGGGTCGAGGAGCGAACCGGTGAAGAGAAAGTAAAGCTCTCTTCTCCCACCACCGCCGTCGGCAATGGCATGACAACGCCAACGGTAGCAGCAGGAGCGGGTGCTGTGGTGCCCGACCAACGAGATGCCTTTCCTTCCTATCTCAAGGGCAAGCGAGTCCTCCTTGCAACCGAATCCCTGGGCCCTGTCAACGGCGTCAGCCGAACCACCCTCATGTTGATCGAATACCTACGCAGAAATGGCGTCCAACTGGCCATCGTTGCTCCTCATTCCAGACAGTCGCGCCTCAAGCCTACCAGTGGTGCGAACCTCACTGAATTTCGACTGCCGGGCTATGAATTGCCATACAACCCTGACCTGACCGTTGTATATCCCTTCCAGCTCGATGACGTCTACAAACAGACCTTCAAGCCCGACATTGTATATCTGGCCAGTCCTGCTTCCACCGGCTTTCAAATGCTGTTCCAGATCCGCCAATTACAAGATCCCCCTGTCGTTCTCCTCAATTTCCAGACCGATCTGTCGGCCTACAGCGAGATTCTGTTCCCGGGTCCTGTTGCCCGCTTTTCCGTCTGGCTGCTAGGGGTGGTCCAAGGCTTCCTGTTCAATCACCGTACCGTCCATACCATCTTCTACCCTTCCTCTGGCGTGCGCCGGTATCTTGAGAAAGCAGGCGCTCCGAGCAACAAGATGGTCCGATTGGGCCGGGGTGTCGACACCACTCTGTTCGACCCTTCCCAGCGGGACGAGGCATACCGCCAGGAATTAGCACCCAACGGAGAAATCATCCTGGTCTGCGTCTGCCGCTTGGCTCCCGAGAAGGGCTTCGAGTTCCTGGCCCAGGTCGCTATGCGGCTCGCCCAAGAAGGCTTTCCCTTTAAATTGCTCATCGTAGGTGGCAATATGAGTGCCGAAGTTGAGGACCAGATCCACCGCCTCTTCGACGACGTGGCAGAGCACGTCATCTTCACCGGCTTCCGCACCGGTGTTGACCTCGCTCGTGCATATGCGACCGGCGATGTTTTCCTTCACTGCTCCATCACCGAGACATTCGGCCTGGTTGTTTTGGAAGCAATGGCGAGTGGTCTCCCAGTGATTGCTCGTGATGAAGGAGGCCCATCAGATATTGTCCAAGACCAAGAGACTGGATATTTGGTTCCTGCCCACGATCTGGAGCAGTACATTTCTCTCGTCAAGCTTCTCTCTACTAACAAGAATCTTCGTGCGGATATGGCAACTGCAGCGCGAAAGTATACTTGCGACGTAACCTGGGAGAAGATCAACAGGCGGGTTGCCTGGCATATGACTGAAGGCTTGCAACAGCACCTCCAGCGAAAACGCAGAAGAAGACCGATCCGAAACTTCATTGTCGCCAGGTATCATGAAATCCGAGATGGCGTAGTCATTCCCGTCGTGGTCAGAATGCGACTATACATGGCAGCAATGGTCGTCTACCTCATTTGGCTGATGACTGCCGTTGTGCTTCTGCTCTACGGCCACAGAGTGTTTTCGCGAGCCGCGCAGCTCCTACGCAACCCGCCCCTCGTTTTGCAACGCATTCAGTACCGCGCCTTGAAACAAGGTATCCAGGAGACGCTCAAGAGCTTGAGCACAGAATGAAATGTGGTCGTGGCGGACATTGGAAACTGCCATGACATCTTATATCATCTATTTTCGTTGCCCATCATGACAGAATGACTATTCCACGTTGGGGACGGCAGCCTAGAAGATTCGGGTGCCTCAGCTTTTTGCTTCATCCAGGACGATGCCGCTTCGATCGGCCGGCCTCAAACGACTTTTGTGCCTAACTTCGCGTCGCCAGGTCCTGAAAAGCCATCGGCGGCACAAGTATGAACTTGGCTCATCAAAAACAGTTTCGGCAACCGGCCAATGCTTCGGACAAAAATGCCGCCCCAACGTAATATTTTACTGCAATGCTGACCTACAATGCGGAGCTGAAGAGCCAAGAATGAGAATCGAACTAAGTGTTGGGTGTCTGACAGAGGTAAATCGGGTGACACTCGAGTATTCAATTCTTTCGGAGTACATATTGCAGCTCGGACATGTGTGCCGACTAGACAGCCACTAGAAGTTGACTAGATAACGGTAAGGCGCTTGAGCGGATCATAGACAGTAAGCTAGTACTTGGGATATATGTCCCATTTATGTGAAACTCCATATCTCGCCCCTCATTCAATATCTCGCGCAGTATGATTTGGCGCGAAGACTACATTGGACAGGAAGGGACTAGCCTGAGAGAAAGAAAACATTTACCAAGGAATGTTTACCAGGAAGAAGGAAGAGAGAGCCGGATATATTCTGGATACGTTGCATATCGGTACCACATAATACTGTAGAACGGAAGGTCCGTCGTCAAGTAGAATTTGACGTCGAAGAGAGGGAAATATGCATCTCCTCACTCCAAAATACAATCCACGAGTTAGTTTTTGCTTTTTTTCTTTTCTCTTTTTCTCTCTTGTGCATCTTTCTTTGCAGGGGGTATATACGTACGCTTGCAGAGGGACAAACTTGCCGATAGAAGACAGGGGGATAAAGATGGAAAGAAGGTCGATAAATCGTGGTATACTGCTAGCATGTCCTGGAGCAAGAAAGGGGGGAAACCAAGGAGAAGGACATAAAAAAGAGATGAGAAGAGTTCCCAGTAATTGATTATCCATGTCCATATCCATATCTACCCCTAGCCTGCTGCTCAGATGATAGCTAGTTAGGCAGCTTCGTTCACCGGCGTCCCGCACCCCCCCTCCTCTTCGGTAACGGTGAGCACCGGAATCATCCCCTCGCCAGCGGCTCTGCATCTCGTATACATTATTACCACGAACGGTTCTTTGTGTGGGGACTTGGTCACGTCGCAAGAACTCGGTGCGGATGACCGCATCGCGGCGGAGGACGGCGACGAAGATGGGACATCTCAACATTTTGTGCGAGGAGTGTGTCGTGGATCAATTTAGTCCGTCTCCGTTTGGTGGGGAGATGGGAATGCCTGATGTGAGCTCTTGAAATTCGATTGCCCTGCCCGTCTGGACTTCGTGCATTCGGTGCTCGTTGACACAGGGTGGAAATGTTTGCTTGCTGGCGTAAATGGTTGCCGCAACATAACGAAAGACGACCGGCTAAGCTGAGACGCGATGCTGTCGAGAGACACTTTCCTGGCATTCTATACAAGAGGTCCAGACCGTGGGCTGCCCGAAGTTGTCTAGCATTCTCAGTACACTATACCTGATGTATGCCCTGCAAATCATCAAAGAGCTCTGACTCTGCAGGCTGGTTCAAGGGAGCGCCCTAACTTAGGCGCTACGAGAGAATAATAGCGCTGCGCGGAGTGTCCAGGACGTGGACCAATCTTTAGAGAGACCGCTGCCAGGTGTCACGGAGATCAGGCGCGATGGACTTTTCGCCATGTAGTATGTATACGATGTGAGCGGAGATTTTGTCAGTTTCAGAGAATGATCGGTTGATTCTCTTGCTTCGAGACTTGGGAGTCCCAGTTTGTTGAAAGAAGCTTTGCAGACCGCCTTCACCTCCCTTTAACCGGCTTGAAGAACTGAGGCTTGTTGGCAGGAGTACCTCAGTATTCGCATTGGACCGGCACAAAGGCTGTAGCTGGGGAGAGATCATGACGCAGGTTTCGCGGCAACGGAGGAACGGATGCAGCCATTTCCGCTATTCGTCAAGCAGACTCTGTACGTCTCAAACAAAACCAGTAAGGGCTGAGACTGAATATCGGCGTCTGAGAGAAGGACTCGTTTCATACTGGGCGAAAGGCTCTTATGTCGCTTTTGGTGATGGAGTTGATAGAGTGTTCGGGCTTGTCGTCGCAGTCGTAGTATATGCAGAACTCGCTGATGAAGGCAATGACGGCTGCGGCCGAAATGGGCAGAGCCCCATGGCCTGGGTCATTTCGGCTATCGTCTTCGGCGCGCCGGCGATGTGTTGGCGGATATGTGCCCTTATCGCTTCGGAGTTCATGTCGAAATCTGGAGAATCCGGCGGATTCTGTTTTGACAGATGACTTTGCTCTTGTGGTTCACCGTCCTCATTCATGCCATTGTCAATCTTCGCGTCGCTGTAACGTACCTGTTGTCGTTGAACAAGCACAAACTCCCGCCTCTTCATGGCGGATTGCCAGACGCGTTTCCAGTGTGCGCCAATTTCTTTGGTATAGAAGAATGTACGCAGAACCTTTTCCAGGCGAGCCCATTGGCGGGCCTGTGGGTAAAGATCCAACGCATGCTCCATAACCAAGTGGGAGTCAGGCATGGGAACGACCCGCAGGGCAAGAGATCCTGCAACTGCCATACTGGACCAAACCAGGCAGTTTTGTTCCGGGAGCGAAGCCGGTTTGGTGTGGGTTAGCAAGGTGGTGATGAATTTGCGGAGGATGGGATCGTAGAAGAGGTTCACTGCCGTTAGACCCCGGAGCTGGAAGATATAGGCCAGCAAACCCATGGTGAAGTGGTATTCGACCGGGCAGGTGGATGTTAGCGACATTCGCTGAAGAGAGGAGAGGATAGTTTGAATCATTGTTTGCTTCCATTCTTCGTCGTACTGGGACGAATCGGGGAGTGGCAACTCCGAAGGCGGGGTCCAGGTACGGTCAAGGAGGTTTTCGTAGCTGACAGTTTCGGTCGCTAGGAGCGTGGTGGCCGCTGAGATGGAGGCGAGGAGTTTGATCATCTGCACAGATATCCGGGACGCAAGACAGAGTTCGGAGACTCCCGAGGGAAGGCGAGAGAGGATAATGCATAAGTCCGGCGGAAATGGAGTTTCGGGATAGGCAAGTGGTTGATCGAGGTGGAGTTCCTGGAAAGTTTCCCTAAGGTAGCCGACCGAGTCGCGAGGTACTTCTGGGGGCTGGCCCGTCACAAAGGAACCTAGAGCTTTGTATGCTATCAGACCATGTCTGACGAATCTCACCCAGTCGGTTTCCGAGTCCGGATCGCCCGTCTCGGAGAGTGGCCCGCGGAGCTCCAGCATTTTCTCCAAACCTTTGCAATGCATTATCACGCCTCGTTGGTTTCCGGAAAGATACTCGAGAGTCATGAGCATCGTAACGGTTAGCAAGGCTGCATCGTCGGTAGCCTCGTTCGATTTGAGCTTTTCATTAAGACCTGCTATGGCGCTGCCACGGTGGTGAACGAAGGCGTAGTCTTCCCATATCGGTCGTCCAAGCGAAATGAGGATGGATGCTCGACAGACTGTTATGATAGACTCAAACAGAATGGTATGCTTAAGTGCATAAGGCAGTAAGAGCGATAGATGAGGATTGACCGGGCCAGGGACGACCGACTTTTTGTTGTTGAAGCCTTTGCAGATGGTGATGTAGTAGTCTAAGGTGTCTTGGACCGTTTCAGTTGATTTGATGGGCAGGACTAGGAATGGATCCTCGCGCGTTCCGTTCAGTGGAAGAGGCTCAACTGGAGAAGCCAAGACTAGTGCCTTCGCATGCGGATTTTGTCTCGCGTCACTGGATTTCGACTTGCGATGGACAGTCTCCTCCTGATCTTCGTCTCGTGCTGAGTCCGGGGGTTGCCACTGTACAAACTGATCCGGAGCTGAGTTTGGAGACTTCTTGCTGGGATCGTACTTTTTCCATCGGATCTTTTTGTAGCCATGATGCCGGCGGCCTGATATCGAAGTTTTGTTCGTCGAAGCGGGCGAGATAGCCTGAAGTGGTGGTCGGCAATCCGTGGCCATCGTCTTCAATCGTGGAGACAGTGCCAGCGACAGGCTTCAGTGCATTGACAGGATTGCGGAATGATCAAGTGATAAGCATGTCCTAGGAAAAAGGGCGGGATAAGCGGGGCTCTCAAGAGAGTCATCGGCGCCAGGAATTGGCATGCTCGGCACGTCTCAGGGACGTTTTATGATTGGTCGGTCTGCGCCAAGATGGCCAAGACTTATCTGACTCGGCGGACGGTCAGGGGGCTTGCTGACTAACATGCCACCGAGCGAGCAAGTTCGCCGGGTTTCTTCGTAGCCGGGGCAAAGGACAAGTTGAACGGCGGCAACGGGGCTTCCGAGGGGATCGTCGCAATGACCTTTTCAGAAGTTCGAGGCCGAGACTGACTATTCTCTATAATTGGAAAACAGGTTACACGCCAAGTAAAACCATAACTTGACTCCCAACATCATATTTCTGGGTTTGGTTATTGCTATGCTCCTCGTGATTCTGCTGGACGATTAATCATCATTATCACGAAGTACACAGCATGAGGACACTTCAATTGAATTTGAGCACCAAAATTTTGCCAAGTAGGGATTGGCCTGGTAGGTCGAGCGCGCCAGTTTCCTGTATGGCATTTCTTCAGTTTGCTCAGCTGTCTGCTGACGTGTAATCTTTTGTTACATTCTGAGATCCTAATTTCTCTTCCGGCTAGGATCTATCATGCCAGACGCTCATCACCGAAAGGATTTGCAGCGACATGGCAGCGGAACATGTCAATCGAGCAAATAGCGTCTGCAAAATTTCTGAACAAGTGGCAAAGACGCAGGCATAATGAGCTCCCGAGCTGGACAGATTAGTAGTTACTGAAAGTATTGGCCAGCACAAGCAAAGCGGTTTGTTTTCTCAAAAATCTTATACATGAACCTTGGACCGCCTGTGCTAGCTTCAAGGCGGTTGTGGCGGACTGGCAAGCTCAAGTGGTGAGCTTATCAGACCCCTCCTTATCGTCTCGTTGCTCCTGACTTGTGGAAAACTGTGTAGGTGTCTCTGGATCGTCCACTGCCAGTTTTGCTGTGTGCGGTTCGGAAGTGGCCTTCGCGGCAGGATTCTGACGATATATGGAGTTGACTGGGAGGTTCTGCGTGGAGAGCATCGGAGGAGGAATAAGCTCTGTATCTGCTTCAACAGAAGTTTGAGGGAAAGACCATTGCTTGAGCAGTGGGTACTGTTGAGGAAGAATTTTGGAATGTATCTCGCTCAAAAATGGAGATCCTCTAGATGTGTAAATGAAGTCCGGCATCGTACGCCAGACGTGTGTAGAGCCAATCGGACCGACGATCTCAGCCCGGTAGCGTTCACGATTGTCCCTCAGTGAGCGAAGGAGGTATTTGACGTCTCTTCGGGGATGCGAATCTGTAGAATATTCGAAATAGGGCTCATCCGAACCTCGCTTTCTTTTCCTGCCTGTTCTTCCGGGTACTGTTACTTTAAGTAGCAGATTGTTGGTTGGCTTGTTGTAGGACAGCACTGCACGACAGCTTGGGTCATCGGGCTGAAACTTGAGTCCCAGCGGCTTGTCCCATCCAGGCTCAAGACTTTGCAGGATCTCTGTAGGCCCCCCGAGCATGCGAATGGCCTTCTCCGCATTCTGAACAATGCAGGGATGTTCAACAGAAAGAACCGGGGTAGCTGGGACCGGGAACCAAGGCGCAATTCGTCGGTCCCTTGACATTCTGACTACTGGGATGGGAAGCTAGATATATGATGTGGTTGATCGATGAGCTGTAGCTGTATTCTTAGTCAGGCCCGATTCTCATTGTCATATTATCGCACCTCACGTCACTGGTCCAATAGCTGTCGGATACAAGCGGACAAGCGTCTCACCTTGTGTGACGCGGGGAAGGCAAGACCAAGGCCGGTAGTTGCAAGGAAGTGCCCAGAGTGCCTTGGGTCATGAAGGTTTTGGTTCACGCTCGTCTCTCGGGTGATATATCCTTTATGACTCGGGAGGCGGTTTATCTTTGGACCCCATGACAGAATTGATGAAACAGAATCTTGATTTAACAATGGGCTTGGCAGCAACAGTGGGTAACTGAGTACTCGGTACCGAGTACATACAAAGTACAGGTCAGTACGAGGTACAGGTACACTGAATATCTCAGAGAAATCACCCCAGGCAACTCTTCCGAGCACCCAAACAGAGTGACGCCCGCCTAAACAGTAGCTGGCTAAGCCTAGTGGCCAGGCTAATAGGCCCCTTTGACACCCACAGGCACCACTGGGTCAAGTTGGCCTTGCCTAACTTGCTAAATTGCACCTCAAGCCGGCCGCGTACTGACACCGAAACACTGCACCGTCCCCGCCAACCTGCGACTGCGACTACACCTTTGACTTGCATTTGACCTTGCGCTGCGCACAACTACTCGACTACTCCTCACCTCGACTTCTGTTCAATGGATGCCCTTCTCAATGCACTGAAATCATTAAGCCACCCCCATTCTCGCCGTCTTTGATCATAGATCGATTCTTTCTGCCCGCCTCCCGCCGTGCTCGAGTTAGAGTCCTTGCAGTCTTTCAACCGAACCCTCCCCAGCTTCCGTCTACCATTCCCTCCACCGGCCTACCGTGTTGTTGTTCCTCTTCTGTGCCAGGGCTGCTCCCAATGATGAGCAATTGATAGAAGAGAAGGAAGTTGCCGGCATAACTGCATCCCGTCGAATTGATCTGGTATTCTCCGACACCACTACCCGTCGCCTCCTACTGAGAAGTCGAGCCGGAGCTTGTGACTCGGATGAAACGCACGTAACAGCCTCGTGGCTTCCTAGAATCGATAAGGCGGCGCATCGACTACGACAAACGTCCTTGTTATTATTGGTGTGTAAAAACATCCAATACCTATCGAAGAGAGTCTGGCAAAATGAAAGGTTTCAGGCAGAGGGTGGTAAGTCTCATACCCGCGTCTTGTGCCGTCCCCATCCAAACGCTCTCACTCACTGATGTTCTAGCATGAGCAGTTGTCGAGGGCAAAAGACAGCAACAAGTCTTCCAAGAAGAAAGATGCGAATAACTCAGGCACCGCATCTCCGCTCTCATCATCCACCACGCTCCCCGGTAGCGATTCTAGATCTCCCAATAGCTCTAACACCGCAACCCCGACCTCCTCGTCGACGAATCTCAATGATTTGCGGAACAAGGGCGCGGGTCTCGAGGGCGCCACACCCAACCACGGAAGCGCTCAACATCATGCTAGCTCTGCCGCAGGGTCAGGCTCGCTGGCTTCCCATTACATGTCGCAAGGCTCTGGTCATGGACCCGGCGGACCTGGAACTGCCGCGGGCCGTCATCACATCGCTCCAAGCGTCATCATAAGCCCAAGTGCTCCTCACATTCCCGGACCTGGTGCCACTGAAACGATGCCTGGCGACCTTGCACCTCCCAAGGCTGGTCAGAAATCCCTCCTCTTCGACCGATTGCAGTCTACACCGAAAGATGTGCCTGAGGGCGTCCGCACTCCCAAGAGACAGCATTCCTCGAGATTTGATGTATCAGACCAAAGAGCTCGTGATCTGGAGAAATTGCCGGGTTTCCATGAAGTCCCTCCCAACCGACGACAAGAGTTATTCATGCAGAAGATCGATCAGTGTAACATCATCTTCGACTTCAATGACCAGACCGCCGACATGAAATCTAAAGAAATCAAGAGATTGGCCCTTCACGAACTTCTGGATTATGTTGCCAACAACAGATCGGTCATAACCGAGCCGATGTACCCGAAAGTCGTCGAAATGTTTAGCAAGAACCTTTTCCGCCCTGTCCCTCCTCCTGTCAATCCACAGGGTGAAGCATTTGATCCCGAGGAAGATGAACCAGTCCTTGAAGTGGCTTGGCCTCACATTCAAGTCGTCTATGAGTTCTTCTTGCGTTTCATTGAAAGTCAAGACTTCAACACAAACATTGCTAAAGCCTACATTGATCATCATTTTGTGCTTCAGTTACTCGAGCTGTTTGATTCGGAAGACCCAAGGGAAAGGGATTTTCTCAAGACAACACTTCACCGGATCTACGGCAAATTCTTGAATCTTCGGTCCTACATTCGAAGATCCATCAACAATGTCTTCTTCCAGTTTACGTACGAGACGGAGAGGTTCAACGGCATAGCCGAGCTTCTCGAGATTCTCGGCTCAATCATCAACGGCTTTGCTCTCCCTCTGAAAGAAGAGCACAAGCTCTTTTTGACTAGGGTTCTTATTCCGCTTCACAAAGTCAAGAGTTTGAGCATGTATCATCCCCAATTGGCATACTGTATCGTCCAGTTTCTGGAGAAAGACGCGGCGTTGACAGAAGAAGTAGGTCATCATGGACTCATGAGGCTCTGGGGATGCTGACAGTATTCTAGGTTGTTCTTGGTCTATTACGCTATTGGCCGAAAGTCAACAGCACCAAGGAAGTGATGTTCCTGAACGAAGTCGAGGATATTTTCGAGGTCATGGATCCGCAAGAATTTGCCAAAGTTCAGGAACCTCTTTTCAACCAATTGGCCAAATCCGTCGCGAGTCCTCATTTCCAGGTGGCAGAGCGTGCGCTATATTTTTGGAACAATGAATACTTCTGCAACCTCGTCAGTGATAACGTCGAAACCATCCTCCCCATCATGTTTGCTCCGCTGTATGAGAATTCAAAGGGTCATTGGAACCGGTATGTATGCTTTCCTCGACCTCCACTTGGCTAATCAGTGGTCAGCACAATACATGGCATGGTGTACAATGCAATGAAACTCTTCATGGAGATCAATCCTCAACTGTTCGACGAATGTTCGCATGATTACAATGAAATGCAGAGCACTGCTGCTCAACGAGAGAAGGCACGCGAGGCAAAATGGGCGAAGCTCACTGAGCAGGCAAACCGCATGAAGGCCGGACTAGCGAAGCCACCGACGACCCCTAGCATTAAGGAAGTGCCAGAGACAGATGCTGCGCAGGACAACCAGGAGAGGCTGGACGCTCTAAAGTTGCATGACGAGTCGTCGTCAATCAAACCATCGTCGGTAAGTCGTGTCTCCATTCGCACAACGTAACTCATCAAGACCTCCGTCACCGCCTTTCATCTCCATATTGGCTAAGACATTCTCTTTCATTATAGTGACGTTGATGGCTATTTCTGACATGGCTTTGGAATCTCCAGAGGCGACGCGCAGACTCGCATGGCCAGACAAGATCTCGACGGTCTCACACCAGCTTGGATGGCAAGTCAAGGAGACATCGGACACATTCTGGAGGGTCAATCGATTTTCATCGAACAGTTCAAATGCCTCATATTCAACGACACGGAAGCAGCGTGTCGCAGCATTGACACGAGCTAGTACTGGGCTGCTGGTGGTGGCAGCGTGCTATGAATGAGTGGACCGAAGTTCATTGTGACTCGTCAGCAAGCGTCGGCTTTAATTGAAGTTTTGGTTTACTTCGAGCTGGGGTCCACCATGCAAAGGATTCAGATACCCGGTCAACACAGTGAATTTTCGCGTTGGGTTTTGGCGATGTCCCGTCAATGATAGAGTACTACGAGGCCTAACCGACATGTTCGGCCTCTGAAATGAAGATACGAGCAACGCGGCGGTAAAAGCGCCTACCGAGTGGAAAGAAGGAGCGAGAGAAAGACAGTGCTGGAATCGTAAAGAAATGTCTTCATCTTCACTTCTGATATATCGGCTCGTTGACTGTTCGCTCGGAATGCTCTTTTGCCCTTTTTGCCCTTCTTAAGGCTGCAGTCGAGGCCACGCTAAACTCCACTCCAGGGGAGCCCACTGTCATGTCCACCCTGTATTATGATTGGCTTAACTTGACGGCAACTATCCCTTTCGTGGACTGGCGCTTCCACGTGATCTGCATGGTCGAGGCAAGCAACTTCCCCCCCTCGCATTCACTTTTCTACCTCGCGCCTCTATTCTCCGCAGAATCTCCATACAAATTTGGTCGGAGGAGGCACCCCGGGCCAACAAGGCAACTTGCCTACACCCATTTCTTCTCTTTACATTCTTGTTTCGTATTGTTGCAGGGAGTTCAGTTAATTTCGTCTTAACATCTTCTTCTAGCGACCAATTATTTCCATTGCACGCCTGCCGCTGCGACTATTTTACTCCTGCGATCGGATCCAAATTCGCGCATTTGCAAATGGGCCTTTGGGAAGGTGAATCCTTATGAAGGCGCTCAAACCCTGCGATACATCTCTTTCTCTACGCTTAGCCGGCCTTTCCACTTCCTCGACCAATCGGGGGGTAGACTAGGAACGACATCACCATGGATGCCTTCCAGAAGATCGATGTCTATGTTGCGAGGCTCAGTGATCCAAAGATTGGCAAGTCGCGTACCTGCTATATGCGGCTTTCTCCAAACTGAACTGACTCTGATCCTTTCGCAGATACGCGGACCAAATCGAACGTGGCTACCGAGCTTCGCGACTCTATTGAATCCCTATGTACACCCTCGAGCGTCTATACGAAATTCCTGACCAAGTTATGGCCCGTCTTCAAGAAGATCTTGGAAGGGAAACCAGACTTGAACCCGACCTCCTTCGAACACATACTCCGAAACCAGATTCTCGAGATCTTGCACCGACTGCAACATCAGCTGCCGGAAGTCGAACCCTTTGCCTTGGACATGGTGGAAATGCTGATGGAGCTGGTGAGAGTAGAAAATGAAGATAATGCTGTACTATGCCTGAAGACGATCATGGATCTCGAACGCCACCAACCCATTGCCACCGCTTCAAAAGTCCAGCCTTTCCTCGACCTCATTCAAGAGATGTTCGAGTTGATGGAACAGGTGGTCCGCGATACCTTCGATTCTCCTGCACCTCATCATCAAGCTTCATCTTCGACGTCAAATCTTCAAAGCCAGACCTTCCAGTCCCCACGACCCGGCTCGCCGGCCACGACAGTGTCGGATCCAGGAACGGAAAAGAAAGAGCACGCGCCCCTGGCAAAAGGTATGCAATCCTTCAAGGTCCTGTCGGAATGTCCTATCATTGTCGTTTCTATATTCCAAGCGCATCGGAGTATGGTGGCTGCCAATGTCAAAAAGTTTGTGCCCTCGATCAAGGGAATTCTCCTGCTGCAGGCAAAAGCGCAAGAGAAAGCGCACGCTGAGGCGGCTGCCAATAAAACTATATTCACCGGTGTCAGCAAAGAGATCAAGAACCGTGCCGCATTCGGAGATTTTATCACCGCGCAGGTCAAGACTATGAGTTTCCTGGCCTACCTTCTCCGGGTATACGCAAATCAACTGACAGACTTCTTGCCGACTCTGCCGGGTGTTGTTGTTAGATTGTTGAAAGACTGCCCAAGGGAAAAGTCTGGCACTCGCAAAGAATTGCTGGTTGCGATACGGCACATTATCAATTTCAATTATCGCAAAATCTTCTTGAACAAGATCGACGAGTTACTGGACGAACGCATCCTCATTGGTGATGGTCTTACAGTGTATGAGAGCATGCGTCCATTGGCATATAGTATGCTTGCAGATCTTCTCCATCACGTGCGAGACTCGTTGGATCGCAATCAGATACGGCGGACAATCGAAGTGTACACGAAGAACCTCCATGACAACTTCCCGGGGACAAGTTTCCAAACGATGAGCGCAAAATTACTCCTCAACATGGCCGAAAGCATCACTAAGCTGGAGAATAAGGAGGAGGCAAGATATTTCCTGATCATGATTCTTGATGCAATCGGCGACAAATTTGCCGCAATGAATTATCAATATGAGAACGCTGTGAAGTTGAGCCGCCAATATGGAGACAAATTCAAGGAGAATCAAACAGAGACATATATGGATGACAAGGACCAGGTTCCGGACTGGGACGAAGTGGACATATTCAATGCCACTCCTATTAAGACTTCGAATCCGCGAGAGCGAGGTGCCGACCCGGTCAACGACAACAAATTCCTCTTTAAGAACCTTGTCAATGGCCTCAAGAATATGTTCTATCAGCTGAAGACATGCAATCCTCCAGGTCTGAACGTAGACCAGGCCAGCATTCCTATCAACTGGAACGAAGTCTCCTTTGGATACAACGCTGAGGAAACACGAGTTGTTACCAAGCTCTTTCACGAAGGCGCACGGGTATTTCGCTACTATAGTGCGGAAGCTCCAGTACCAGATACGCAGTATTCCTCTCCAGTTGACTTCATGGCCAGCCACTCAATGGCACAAATGACGCGAGAGGAAAAGGAGTTGCTAGAAAGCTTTGGGACAGTATTCCACTGCATCGACCCAGCCACCTTCCATGAAGTCTTCCAGGCTGAGATCCCTTACCTCCATGAACTAATGTCTGAGCATACCGCGCTGCTACATCTCCCCCAATTCTTCCTTGCTAGCGAAGCCACCTCACCGGCATTTGCAGGGATGGTCCTTCAGTACCTAATGAACAAATTACCTGAGGTCGGATCGTCAGACATTGTCCTATCCTCGATATTATTGAGGATGTTCAAGTTGTCATTTATGGCCGTCACGCTGTTCTCCACGCACAATGAGCAAGTTCTGCTTCCGCACATCACGAAGATTATCACACAATGCGTGCAGCTGTCGGTGACAGCAGAGAAACCTATCCATTACTTCATTCTTCTTCGGTCCCTATTCCGGAGTATTGGTGGTGGGCGCTTCGAACTCCTTTACAAAGAAATCTTGCCACTGCTCGAAATGCTGCTGGAAACTTTCAATCATCTTCTCCAAGGCGCTAGGGATCCGCATGACCGGGATCTGTACGTTGAATTGACGTTAACTGTACCGGCTAGACTCAGCCATTTGTTACCGCATCTCAATCATTTGATGAGACCCCTGGTCGTGGCTCTTCGGGCTGGCCCCGACCTTGTTGGGCAAGGCCTTAGAACGCTCGAGCTCTGCGTTGACAATTTAACAGCAGACTACTTGGATCCGATCATGGCACCGATCATGGATGATCTGATGACTGCCTTGTTTGAGCACCTGAAGCCTCAGCCGTACCAACATTTTCACTCCCATACGACGATGCGCATCCTTGGAAAACTCGGGGGGCGCAATAGAAAATTCCTGAACCATCCGCATCGCCTGTCTTATCGGCGTTACACTGACGACGAACCCAGCTTTGACATCCGATTTCTTGAGACCAGCCGCGATCGAGCTTTCCCTTTGGATACTGGCGTCGACCTAGCTATTCGGAAACTCACTGAGACAGCTAAAAGCACAAATACGAAGGCATTAGATCTCTACTACAAGCAGCAGTCATTTAAGTACATCAGTAACCAGGTGAAACTGTTCATCGGCCACGACCATCTTCCAGACGATCTCGCGGCTCTCCTTCGACTTCAGGCAAACGACCTCCTTTCGCGGCGGATTTCGACATATGCCGACATGCTGGCTGAAAACGAATTTGGAAAGTCGGTGCAAAAACGTCGAGATCAGGAAGAGAACTTGAAGAAGCTCCTTAAGGCCTGCTTCACAGCAACGGCTGTCCCGGATCTGAAGTCTCAGGCCGAAGCATTCATTCAGAATATATCGCGTCATTTTAGTGTTGTGGAACTCGGGCAAGCTCTGTGCGATTCTGGCCGAAGAACCAAAGAATTCGACGTCAATCTGGGTGAAGGTGCGGTCCATCTCAGCACCCGCATCTTAGGCGATGTTATCTGTGATTGCCTGGCCTCAGACAACATCGTCATCCGCGAGGCTGCCGAAGCATCGATGCTAGCCGTGCTTGACACGGCTCGCACCATCTTTGGCAGTGAAGAAAAGGCGGCTAAACTGCCTTTCTTCACGCACCTTACTCAGACATTCTGCCACAGATGCCGCGAGGTGGAGTGGTTTACCAAGGCCGGCGCTACTTTGGGAATACAGATTCTGGTCAAGAAGTTCAACCTGGGCAACCCTTTCCTCAACAGTAAGCAACTTGAGATAGTCAAAGCTTTGCTTTTCGTGATCAAAGACACGCCTCAAGAGGTCCCAGCAAGCACCCGGATTACTGCCCAAGAAACACTGGATTTCATTCTTCGGAAATGCTGTGCTGGTCAGACACGGGAGATGCTCGCCAACGAGAGGAGCACTATCC